ATATATGGGATATGTACAAAGTATTAGATAAATTTCAGTAAGTGTGCTCAATACTTTTTCCCTGTGCCATTCCACATTATTACAAATAACTTCATTTCTGGACATTTATGGTTTGATTTCTTTGTATGTATGGATCACTTGGGTTGTTACCGATATCTGGTGAAAATTTCATGTCATTAGCACCTCTAGTAATATATTTACTGAGAAAAATGTTGACGTGTTTAATACTTATTTTACCCGCTGTATGTCTCAAATCTGATCTCTTGCAAAAAAATAAAATAAAAAATAAATAAATAAAAAATAAAAAAGAGGAGCAGCTAAACAAACATTTCCATGTTGCGTTCTTCTGTCCAGCAAGTTCATCAAGGATAAATATGGCGACTACACTCAGAAGGAGGCAGCCTACATCGCAGGTGCCGTGTATGACAGTTCTCTGGTCCTCTCAGCCACTGTGGGCATTCTCATAGTAAGTGTCTGTAATCTGAACCTGCATCCTGTCTCTGTAATCTGTACGAATGGAGACTCAGTTAAACCGGTTTGGATTATGTGTTTTAGGATTATGTGGGCCTGCGGGGTGTTTTTGCACTAGCTTGTGCCATCCTCACGCTGCCTGTGTTCGGACTCCTGGCCTTCACCTTCGTCCCTCCGTTGGTCGCCACCATTTGGCTCGGAGTCACGTACTCCTTTGCTGCTGTGAGTTTTATTCTCAAATATTTCTGTCTCACATCTTATTATGATCTTTTCCTGGGCCAACACTAGGGTTGGGCGATACTGGCAAAAAAAAAGAATCATTAATTGTGGCATATAGCTGATAACATTTGTGATGATAAATAGATGACATTTGCATTTTCATGTTTTTGGCTCTAAATCACTTACCATTATAGTAACATTAATTACGCCGTGTGTTCTAAAATTGTACTTACAAATCATCCCTCAGACTAACTTTAAAGTAGTAACTGTGGAGTTGAATCCTACCTTTTCCACAGTGCTGAGCGGCAGCATGTCATGGGCTCACATGTGCACTTGATAGTGTGTCGCACACAGAAATACCTCATCACGTGACACTAAATGCTGTAATTGCAATGTGGTAAATATTAATTGACAGTTTTTCTGACGATTTATTGCACACCATACGATTTTGCCCAACCCTAGACAACACTGAAGATCAGAGTTGGGCAAAATCATACTGGGGGCAATTAATCATCAGAAAAACTTTAATCGATTATTTTATGGCACTTGACAATTAATACGATTAATGCTGCCTGGCAGACTGACTGGAGCTTTCCTCGGTTGGTCCGCTCGATGCTCCTCTCCGCTTCAAATGTGTGACCCATCATATCGAAATGTGGATTAAGTCAAATTTGGTCTGTTGTGGAGATCCAAGAATAAAAAGTACTCTGTGAAATGGTCAACAGGATTTATTGCAGTTGCAAGACACACATCATGTCACACAGGGTAGTGGTACAGGATGTGTGCACAGAGGCAGTGTCAAATACACACATTCATACAGGATGTTATCCAAACAGACAAGAAACATCTCTTTTGGTGCTAAAACTGGGCCAAGGAGAGAATGATGTTTGATAAACAGCAATTACTTCTAAAGGGCTCGACACACGGGAGGCGACGTCGCTCGCTCTCCATTCATTTCCTATGGAGCCTGTGCGGTGAGGCGACAATCGCTTGCCCTCCTCCAGCTAAGCGGCCGGCGAAAATAGTGCATGTGAAATTTCGCGCTCGTACACGTAGACGTGCACACGCGAGCTTGCGACGCGACATATAAAAGTTGAAAAATGTTCAACTTTTGTCGCTGTCGCTTAGCGTACAACCAATCAGCGAGGGTTTCATTGACTGACCAATGAGAGGAGAGTATGCTACACACTGCCGTTAGCTAACACTTTCAGCAAGTGATTACTAAAAAGCATTGTGGGAATTTATTGGCACCAGGGTGAAGTTTATGGTAAGTTTTTCCTCATAAAACTGTATCTTGATGTGTGTCTGTTTTTCAATATCATTAGCATCGCAAGATTTGTTTAGTTTACACGTCCGTAATGCACACCCACCTTCAGAGTCAAGAACCAATCAAATTTTGTGAAGACAAGCGACCTGAGAGAGCGCGATTCAAAACGCTGCGATCGCTATCGCGTCCCGTGTGTCGGGTTTCACCCTGGCTACGATGACAGCCGTTCATCGCTGTAGTTTGTCGCTGCCCGTGTGTCGAGCCCTTAACAGATATTGTCCTGATCTTAAAACACTTAGTCTGAGAGAAAACAGAAGTTTAAAAGTAAAATCATAAAACATGATTACATTTTAAGGTAAGCAAAAGAGGTTTCTGACTCCTGACCTGAGAAGAAATGTAAGACTTTAAAAGATAATTTATTTTCCCAGGACAGGTCAAAATGATCTAACCTCATTTTCAGATTCCTGGCTTTAAAAGCTACATTTTGATACCTGGATCATTCTGATATCGTACGTGGATCCAGAGATATGACTTAATTTATCTTCTTGGTTACGATAATACAATAATATTTGGTCTGAATTCTAATTTTGTGTCATTTTAAGGAGGAATTTTAAATGTTAACAATATATAGAAAAAAACTTCAGATAGTATTTGAATATTGAGATTTTCCAGCTAGAAAGAAACAAAAACATTTCTAGCTCACAGGGAAAATCTCAACATTTTAAGGCATTTTTCCTCAAAATCAGTTTTTTTGTTGCTACTGTTCAAAATAGTGCTTCAAAATTTTGTTTAATGATTATATTTCATACAGTTCATTCAAATGATACATTGATAAAGCATTTATTCATTGTTTTGACAAAATGCAATTTTTGAAAATGTTTTAATCAAAACACTATATTTGCCTATTTCTCCACATTCCACCTTTAGACTTAATCCTCATTTCGATGTGATGGGTCACATTAATATTTTTTGATGAAGTCTGTACTTTTGACACAATTTGGAACAGATTTTAATGTAAAGCAAATCTTTCCCACTAGATTGATTGGTCATGCAGGCGTCCAGGGACTTCAGGGGATTAATAGTCATTAATTCGTTATCGGCTAAATACTACAATAAATCATAATTTTCTTTACAAATATCTCCCAACCCTGCTGAAGATATGACACATTGATACAATGTAAAGTATTCAGCGTACAGCTTGTATAACAGTGTAAACGTGCTGTCCCTTCAAAGTTACTCAACACACAGTCATTAATGTGTAAACCTCTGGCAACAATAACGATGGGTGTGATCACTATGACTGTATTTAGGATTTTCACGTGTTTTCACAAATTCCTATGTGGGAAAATACGTGACGTGTTTTTGCTTTGCTGCTGTGTTTGTGTCACGTGAAGAACTTCCTGCCCGTTTTGTTTCTCCAGGCCAGCATGTGGCCCTCGATTCCCCTCGTAGTTCCTCAGGCCACCTTAGGAACAGCCATGGGCCTGGCCACCTCCATACAGATGGTGGGGATCGGAGTGTCCAATCTGGTCGTGGGACACATTTTAGGCACCACGTCCGGGTGAGTAACTCAGATTGGGGACTCGTTGCGTTGCACCTGCATTTCATAAAATAAATACAAATAATAAATGTTTGATGTGCAGTGAAACTAAGATCCCATTGTGGCGCTGGCAGAGGATGATGATCTTTATGTTGGCAAACACCATCAGCTGCATCGTCACAGCGGTGTTTCTCAACGTTGTGGATCACAGACAGGTCAGGGTTTGGTTTGTTTGTTTGTTTACCTTCTGACTCCTCAGCTAAAGCTTTCAGTCTGTTTCACATTTAATATTTGTTTTTCTCCAGGGTGGAACTCTGAACAAGACAACCAAAAGGTCAGAACAGAGCCAGAGAGGCACGGAGCGTGAGTTCCTCCTCAGCAGGGAGGAAGAGAAGGAGCAGGATGAGAACAGGGATGATGCTGCTGGATCTATCAATTCATGAGCTTTAATCCTTTTTTTTTCTTTCTTTTTTTTTAAATTGTACTTTTAAGTGAGTTTACCTTCAGTCTCAAATGAAAAAAAAAAGAGCTGCTGACTGGTCTGACTCAGCATCACATTTATTTTCTCCATGTTTTATGTTTGTGCCGTAAAATCACACCAGTGATTATGCGTGAAAAATTGAGCAGCTTGAGGTTTTTCTTTTTTGTTTTTAGACACTTTAATGGAAACTTTCCGATAACATTTTAGCCGAGGTTGTTGGGGGGTGGGG